TCCGTGTAATCTATTTATAAAAGACCTTAAACTTATACAAACAATAATTTTTATTAAAGAATATTGATTAAAAACGTGAGTAGAAAAGTTTTAACACTGATAAAAAAATTAACTTGATTTAAGAGGAGATTCTTTCTTTGAGAAACTATTCTTGATCTTGGTTTATAAAAATTTTACTTGACTTAAGAATTTCCGTCTTGAATCAAGTTATTTTTTTAATCAGTATTTTACAATTTCAAAAGGATATTAAGTTTTAAGATAAATGAGCTTAAACTGATACAAAAAATTATTGTTATTAAAAAATATTAATTAAAATGATAGTAAAAAAATTTTACACTGATAAAAAAATTAACTTGATTTAAGGGGGTATTCTGGTCTAGAAGCCTAAATTTTAGGCATTTTTCAAACTAACATAAAAAAAAAATGAAAAACATTTTTATAATCCGTTTTTTTATATGATGTTTATTGACATTTCAAGAATATAAAAAAAAAATTAAAAAAAAAAAAAAATGATAAATTTGACAAATTACAGGGCGGTGAATGGGGGCAACAAAAAAAAGCGGTGCACTCTGGTTGACTGATTCCAGCCCTTGTAGTGATATGAAACAAAAAAATTTGAGAAATTCTCAATCCGTAAAGATGTCGCTATCGTGTTGACTATAGAAAAAAAAAAAAAAAATTCACAAAATGGCGTCGACATAAAATATCAATTTATTTTTTTTACCCTTTTTTATGACCTTTTCGAATTTTTTAAAAATACTCCAAATTGAAATTTTTGAAATCCATAGCAGACGCGAACTTAAGATATCATGTCAACCACTTTAAAAAAAGTAGTTTCGAGAAAATCGCGTTTAAAGTTTGAGAAACAATTTCAGTAAAATGACTCACAATAATATTTAATATTCACTTTGGATTAATCGCGAATCCCAGATCCATAAATTGGGCCTTCTTCTACTTCCTACTCGACGTTTTACGAAGTTCTTTCTGCTAATCGAGCTGTTCTGCCCTCTATTGAAGAAGCAGAAGCAGAAGAAGCTGCATTATAAAATCCACTGTATCTCCGAAAATAATTCGAATTTTGAAAAATCCACTCAAGGACATATTTTTAAGGGTCTAAAATTTGGAAATATGCAAAAAAAAAAATTCGAATTTTTTAAATTTCTAGACAAGAATACCGCCTTAATAAAGAATCGAAAAAAAAAAGGTGTGTGTGCGATTCACACACGATAGAAGTGAAACTTCAGTAAATCGACAAAATAATGAGATGAATATATATAACAAGGGTAGGATAATTACAAAGTTTTTTTGTTTAAAAATGAAAGTATTTTGATTAATTTCAAAGATATTTTATTTAACATATGTTACATAATTGAAATTCTTTATGAGCATACTTATTTCGACGAAACCGTGAGTATGGAATTTCTGGCTGTACATCTACTGGAGGGTTATCTAAAAAAAAAATTTTTACCTTTTTTTATGACCTTTTCGAATTTTTTAAAAATACTCCAAATTGAAATTTTTTGAAATCCGTAGCAGACGCGATAGAGAGATATATAAAACAAATTCCCACTAAATTTCAAAGGAATCGGTGGGGTAGAACTTAAGATATCATGTCAATCACTTTAAAAAAAGTAGTTTCGAGAAAATCGCGTTTAAAGTTTTAGAAACGATTTCAGTAAAATAACTCATAATAATATTTAATATTCACTTTGGATTAATCGCGAATCCCAGATCCGTAAATTGAGCCTTCTTCTACTTCCTACTCGATGTTTTGCGAAGTTCTTTCTGCTAATCGAGCTGTTCTGCCTTCTATTGAAGAAGCAGAAGCAGAAGCAGCTGCGTCACAAAATCCACGGTATCTCCGAAAATAATTCGGATTTTTAAAAATCCACTTAAGGACATATTTTTAAGGGTCTAAACTTTGCAAATATGCGAAAAAAAATAATTCGAATTTTTCAAATTTCTAGACCAGAATACCCCCTTAAGAGGAAATTCTTTCTTTGAAAAGCTGTTCTTGATCTTGGTTTATAAAAATTTTACTTGACTTAAGTATTTCCGTCTTGAATCAAGTTAATTTTTTTATCAGTACTTTACAATTTCAAAAATATAATAATTTTAAACATTAAAGAGCTTAAATAGATACAAATAATAATTTTTAGTAAAGAATATTAATTAAAATGTTAGTAAAAAGATTTTACACTGATATAGAAATTAACTTGATTTAAGAGGAAATTCTTTTTTTGAAAAACTATTCTTGATCTCGGTTTATAAAAATTTTACTTGACTCAAGAATTTCCGTCTTGAATCAAGTTAATTTCTTTATCAGTATTATACGATTTCAAAAACTATAATAATTTTTAAGATAAAAAAGCTTAAACAGATACAAACGAAATACCGCGGTGAGTCCTATACTTCGAGCAAATATACAAAAGCACAAAGAAACCCTGGTTCGCACACTATAATTTGCCTAGGAAAGTCGTCACCACAATTATCCGAATGCGCCTCAACTATTACAATCTCCAACTCGAGTCTTCACAGAAAGAAATTTATTGATTCAGCTGAGTGTCCATGTGGATCCCCCGAACAAGACCTCAACCACATCTTCTTCGAGTGCCCAACCTACCAAAACCAACAAAGAACATTAAACAACGTATTGGTCATAATTTGTGATCCTGTCCCGACCAACATCACCACTCTCCTGGCCACTCCTACGTCTAAAATAGCATACATACTCTGTAACTTCCTCACAAAGTGTGACCTCAACATTTAAATTCAAATTCGTACAGACCGAGACACCTACCGATGACCCCCAGAAACTACAAACTCACAACTACTCCACCATCAAGTACAGCGGCCGAATGGGAAAATGCCCAGAGTCTAAAGAATACTACTACTACTACTACTACTACTACTATATACATACAGACATACAGACACCATCGCGGGAATAGTCAAGAAAGCTTTCTAGGACTTCACAACGTCGAGATCTGATTCTAAATCTAAATTCAAGAGTATTTACTGATTAAAATAAATTCAGCAGAATTAAAAGCCGTGAATTCATTTCTATTGCACGCCTCATAGCGCGAAGCGCGTGAGGTTGTGCTTTATACTCGACTCGTCAAGGTCAAGCAATTTTGGGATCTTTAAATGTCTCTATCACAACCATATTACACTTATACAATGATATAAGTAGATGTACACCGAGAAAACACTTAAATTAAACCATCTTTTACTTTCTAAAATCATTTCATGAAGGTATTTTAAAAAAAAAAATGTTTTGAAAAAAATTTTACGTGGACGTCCGGATGTCACCCCATTTTGGATGTACCAACGATTACTCCCGAACAAATTGATATTTCAAGACCGGACTTTTTTGATTAGTTTAAGAATGCGATGAACTGGGTCCGTATTTCATATCAGTAGCCTAGTTTACGTATTTTTTTTTTTAAATTGAATTTTTATTAAAGTTCACTACGATACAACCGTACAAAGACAAACGAATTTTTCTTATTGGGAAACTTAAAACTTTGATACGCCAACTAGTGGTTCAAAGTGTAACTACTCAAGGTAGGCTAATTTTGTATACATGTGTACATGTGTTGCCTACTTTTGCCTACTTTGAGTAGTTCATTTTTAAACACCAGAGGTCTAATACCTAAGCCACGCACATCCTAAGGATCCCAATATGTCACGTGAAAACTATGGCGCCACTTGATCAAGCTAGATTTTTTTAGACTGCGTGCGCATTTGACAAGAAAAAAGGGTGCTGATATTTAAAAAAAAAAAAATTCCCTGTAAGAAATTACTTAATCATAATTTTTTTTTCTTTTTTAATCAATTACACAATTTATTTTTTCTTAAAAAATGAATGAGTGTTATGAGGCGTGCACTTTTGGATTTTCCAAACTTTTTTTTTAATAATTCGGGAATCCAGAAATTGAAAAATTATTTATTTATTGATTAGAATTGATTTGAATTCATTTTCTAAATACGGTGAAAAAATCGAGAAATTGAAAGTATAAAAAAGAATTCATCTTTCGTCATTTTTAATTCTTTTCAATTAATTTTTTTTAATCAGGGTTCATAAATTGTTAAGTTTTTCCGTAATAGACTCGATGTTTAACTTCAAAATATATTTGTATACTAAAAAGTTACTTAATATACGAAAATTTTCAACAGTTATTGAATTCATAATGTGAATTGAACTTAGTATCGTCTCGAAAGATCCGGATAATAAATTTTTAGGAGCGAGAGAGAAAAAAAAAAGAGGTTCTTCATTCCTAATGGTTAAGAGATTAACGCGCGTGCGTAGCGCGCAATTTAAAATTCTTGTATTTTTATAAAATTAAACAGAGCGCTAGGTTTTTTATTTTTGGAATTTAGCTCGAACATTGTTTGCTGTTTATCCGTTTTTTGAGCATCATCATACACTCTAACTTTCACTCTGGATATACGTGCACACTACTCCTAAAAGACTCTTTCTAATAACTCTAAGGGTTAGTTTTTCAATCCGAGATAAAATTTTATTCGAGATATAATTATTAATGTCAGTATATCTACGTACCTAGAATATATAGATATATATTTTAGCAATGAATAAAATTTTATCCCGGATTGAAAAACTGGCCCTAAATATTGCTCTGACTGACATATAAAACCACAGGCGACATACTTTTGCTTGGATGTATACTCAAAAAGTAAATATATAGTTATGAACGTGCGATCCATGTGTGAGTGAGTGAGTATAGGTATAAGTAAGAATATAACCTAACTATACATATTATGTATCTCTCCACCTCTAAAGTGAGTGGTGTAATATTACATATATATATAAGTACTTATATTCATGACCTGAAATATTTGTTTACTAAATTTAAGAACATTTTTTTAAACTCGAAATATCTAAAAGTGTCATTTATGCAAGTGAAATCTGGTATAAGTATAAATAATGATTGAATGAAATTTTTAAAAAGCTCATATGTAACATAATAAATAAAAATATGGATGTTGTTAATGACATATCGTTTGAAAAAGTATTTAAAATTGAAAAACATGATCCGGAGGTAAGGTTATGTTAAGGATTATCAAAATATTATTATTTTTAAAACTATTATCCACTTTTAGGACTCAGAAATTGACAATGTTACGGAGGAACATAATTATCCTGATGATACGAATAATATGAGTGCTCCAGAAAGTGTTTTTATAAATATTGATCTTCCAGTCAGCATAAAAGCAGGTATAAATTATTCATTAAAATATTTTTTAATTATTTGTTATTACAACTATTTTTAAAAAATAATAATTATTATAATAAATTTAATTTTCCTTTTAATATTAAAGAGGAGCCTGATAATGAGGAAGCTGCGGATCCACTGGCAGGAGTTACCGAAACACAGGCTGAGGAATCATCGACGGGTTCAAACTTGAAAGGATTATTAGACAGCAATTCGACTAACTATTCTCTAGATAGCAATCAGTATACATTGATTGCTAATGAAAATTTAATTTTAATAAAAGATGAATACGACAGCTCACCTGAGGTAATCAGTGATGTCAAATTAACGAATGTAAAATCATCAAAGAGGCCAAAAGTTACTCAGAAAAAGGAAAGACAGTCTCGTAGTAAAAAGAAACGAAGTTCAAAACCTGCAAAAAAAAAAGCTAAACTTTTGAAATGCGACAGGTGTCCTGCTCTATTTGACTACAATAGTAACCTTGAAAGACATAGGCGAACTCACTCACCGAAAAAACCATACACTTGCGACATTTGTGGAACAAAATTTGCTTGGAAACGTAATTTAAAAGGTCATATATTTTTACATTCTGGAGAGCGACCTTTCAAATGTAAGACATGCTCGAAAACATTCAACAATAAAAATACACTGGAAAGACATATGATTATTCACTTAGGTGTTAGACCACACAAATGCAAAATATGTCCAGCAGGATTTGATTCTAAAAGCAATTTAACGAGACACATTCGCTCTCATACAGGTGAAAAACCATTCCAATGTGAAATCTGTTTAGCAAAGTTTACAGAGAAGCGGAATTTGCAGAATCATTTATTAATTCATTCAGGAGAAAAACCGTGGCAGTGTAATGCATGTCCGTTAAGATTCAGTCAGAAGGCGTACTTGAGAAAACACCAAATGTACCACATAAGTAAAAACGTTCTGGAGTGCGACGTCTGTTCGATGACATTCGAAACAAAACGCAGTCTATCTAGGCATATGACGATTCACGCAACCGACAGGAAGTTTGAATGTGATATGTGTTTAGCAAGATTCATTAAAAAACGTGAACTGACCAATCATATAATGGCTCACACAGGGGACAAACCATGGCACTGTGAGATTTGCCCAGCAAAATTTAGTCAGAAGTTGTATTTAAAAAACCATAAAATTGTTCATGCAGAACAATTACCATTTGAGTGTAAGACTTGCTCTGAAAGATTTGATACGGAAGACAATCTTTCAGAGCACAAAAAATCTCATTCGAAAAATTTATGGCAATGTACAATTTGTAATAAAAAATTTACGTGGAAACATCATCTTGAGAAACACCTACTAACACATACCAGGGCACGACGGTACAGGTGTCCAACGTGTCCAGCAGCGTTTGGTTCTAATAGTAATCTCACTAGACATATTCGCTCTCATACAGGCGAGAAACCATTCCAATGTGAAATTTGCGAAGCAAGATTTAGTGAGAAACGTAATCTCCAAAATCATATTAATACCCATACAGGAGAAAAGCCGTGGCAGTGTGACGATTGTCCAGCGAAATTTGGATCCAGGTCCACATTGACCAAGCACCAGCAGCTGCATAAGCAACCACTTTTATTTTCATGTGACCACTGCTCACAAAAATTTGTTTCAAAACGGAAGCTCATCAAACATATATTAACCCATGCGGACAATTGGCCATTTCAATGTGAAATTTGTTCAGCAAGATTCACCGGGAAAAGGAGTATGTATTTTCACTCTCTGACTCACACAGGTGAAAAACCGTGGGAGTGTGAAATTTGTTTTGCTAAATTTGCTCAAAAAGCTTATTTAACAAGACATAAACTTACTCACATAGATATGCTATCATACAAGTGTCCTCACTGTTCAGAGCGATTTCATTCGGTAGAAAATCTTAATGAACATATACCAATTCACATGGCTCCTAAAATGGTTATACAGTGTGAATTATGTTCAGCAACGTTTCGCGAAGTACGGAATTTAAACAATCATATGGTACTTCATTCTCAAGGAGAAGAACCTTGGAGATGTGAAATTTGTTCAACAGGTTTTAGATGGAAGTTTGATTTAGATAAACATAAACTTGACCATTGTCAGTAAAAATTATCCAGATAAATTATGCTTTCAGGAAAAATTAACTTTATTTATTAAAATTATCATAATTAGAGTAACTGCTTTGTTTAAGAAAAAATGTTCAAGCATTCTATTAATAAAAAATGCAATTTACCTAAAAAAAAAAAAAAAAAATTTTTTATCAGTTTCCTATATTTTATAATGAAAGAAAAAACTGTAGGATATTAATTTTTTAAATGAATTATTAAAAAATAATTTTTATACATAATTTTTTTTTATTTATAATTGTTAAAAATTTTTAAATTGTATAAGAATAAAATTAAAATTTTATTAATTATTTATAGATGATTAATATATATTATATACGCATACATTAATTTTTTATTTATTTATCTCACGTTGGTATAATTGGACTTCTCTGTCTCTGATATAATTCTCAGGTAACTATACAATGTGCAAATGTGAGTTCAGCTGTTTATTTACAAAGTGAAAGTAAAAAAAAAAAGCATATGATGATGAAGTCGGAAGGACCAGTTATTTATATAAACACATTTGTTTACCCATACTTGTTGATTATTATTCAAGAATTATTATAAATAAAATAAAGCTAAACTCATCGAAAAGTGTATATAACAATGGATATTTTAAATAACTTTTCTTTTGAAAAATCTGGGTTTAAAGCTGAAAAAGAGAGTTCTGAGGTAATGGGGTTATGTTATTTTAATAAAATTTTTTTGACATATGTATTAAAATTTTATTTCAGGAATACGGAGTCGACGATCTGGAAAATGATTTTACATACCACTATGCTCAATTAAAAAATATTTCGGATCCCTTAACCAGTGATTCTAAAATAGAGGCCCCTGACAATCTTTCAGATAATGAAAATTCATATTTTGAATTAACATCTGGTATGAGCCACATATTCATTTGTAGTTTAAAAAAAAAAAAAGCAATTAAATTAATATTAGATAAAATATCGACGTTCTAATTAGCAAATTGTCTAACTCCATTTCAGAGAATCTTCCATTTGTACGAAAAAACAATTAGTTCAAAATTTATTATCACTTTGAAAAACAATTTAATATCTAATAGAGGTATAACATTTTAGCTTGGATCATTCAAATAATTTATAACTAGACTATTGCTACATCAAAATATTAAAAAATCACCCTCTAAAAAATAAGGAGTTAAACCAATTGCTAATTAGACCGTCGATATAGAGCATTAAGACATTTTTTTTAAATGATTGATAAATTTACTTTTTTAGATACGAAAAATGAAAATTCAACTTTGGGTGATTTGTCGAATTCCGTAGATAATGAATTAGATGATGATGATGTTATAATTGAAATGGAGTATTTTAATTCATCAAAAGAGATACATAGCAATAAAAATCCTAATTACGTTGACCTTGAACAGTATTCACCTCTTAATGATAAAAAAAAGTTGCCGTCAATAAAAAATGAGCCTAGTAAATCTTCAGACGTTTCTGGTGATATAAAAATATTAGACGTAAGATCTTTGAGTGAACAGGATAATAATTGGTCGCAAAATGAAGAAAATACTCAAGAAGATGTTGATTTAATTGAAGACAATGATTGTAAAATAGAGTTTGTAAGGACTAATTGTGTAAATGCACCTTTTCAAACTCTCAGAGCAGGAGAGCCGTGGACTTGTGGTATCTGTTTTTCGGAATTTGGTGATATTTCTCAGATGTTAAAGCACATGCGGACCCACAAAGGTGATAAACTTTTTGAATGTAGAACTTGTTTTGAAAGGTTCTCGAATAAAAGAGATTTAACCAATCACATGCATAATCATGTTCATGAGGCCTATAGGTGTTATATCTGTTCATTGAGTTTCACTAAAAAATTTAATTACAATAATCACATGCGACTTCATACTGCTGAGAAGGAGAAACAACCTTATCGATGTGATATCTGCTCGATAAGATTTTCTGAACGACGTCATTTAACCAGTCATTTAAGAACTCATAATGATGATAAACCATTCCAGTGCGAAATTTGCAGTTTGAAATTCAAGTGGAAATATCTTTTAACCCGACACCGGCGAATTCATCCAGAATAAAAGGGTTGCTGTAATTTTTTAAATTCCTGAATAAAAAAAAGTATTGAAAAGATTTGGATTGACTAGAAAATCAATTCTTTTTAATATTTTTTCCTTTGTCTCAATACTTTTTTTTAATCAGGGATGAAATATATAATGCATTTTTAAATGCTTAGTTGATTTAAGGGGTTACATGGGTTTCACGAATTCAAAAAAACGATTTTTTTTATTGTCTTATTAAATTCTACAACATCTCTAGAATATTGTACTAAAGTTTCAAATCGATCCGAGTAATAGTTTCGGAGATACAGTTTTAAAAAAAGTTTCGTGCTCAAGGCGCTGTTTTATTGTCACTCAAAACTTTAAACGCGTTTTTCTCAAAACGGTTGTCAAGATTTCTCGAGAACTACTCAACCGATCTTGATGAAATTTTAGACAGATCTTCGAGATATAATTTACAAGGTCTGAGACAAAGGATTTTTTTTTTTCAATTACAACTATTTAAAAAAAAAAATGCCGCGCAATTTTAGCCAAATTTTTCATTTTTTTGTAATAACCTCTACCGGAAATCCAATTTTCATTTTTTTTTTTCCTTCGTTCAAGACCTAGTTTGAAGTCTTAACTAAAACACTTATTTTTTTTTTTTTTTTTACTTCAAATCATCCTACTAGGAGTTCTGCTGTCAACGCGGACGCATCTTTTTTCCAAGGGCTCGTCGGAAATGATGTCACAATGGCAGAGTTTTTAAAATTTTTTTTTTAAAATTTTAGTAATCTATTATTAAAATATATATTTTTAAGACAGTAAAAAGTTTGAATTAAATATTTCATTTAAGTTAAAAAAAAATTGTTAAAAATAGGCCATTTTTTCCAGAGGAAACCCATGTAACCCCTTAACTAATAGTATAATTTAGTTATAAATAATTTAAAAGTTAAATAATTAATTTAAGTAATAAAATTGATATTAATATTAATAAGTAGGTATTAAACCGTGTTTTGTTCTTTCGCTTTCATGGCTGATATTACATGTAATGGACTGATAACTGTTTTATTTATTAATTTAAGCATGTGAAAAATTGATAAACATTTTTGTGAGAAGTTTTATTCTCAGTGAAAAGTTTCATCAGTTTAATGATGCCGTTTATTTTTTAATTTTGATTAAAATGTTATAAAATATATTTTTTGTAACAATGCAACAAAAAGAGTATTTTAAAAGATTCTATTTTGAATTTTAAATGAGTAAAGATGCGACAAAAAATGTAAAAAATTTTTTTAGAAAATGACTTTAAAACATAAGAGAAAAAAATTTTATGAATTCGAGTGTTCATGGCACTTCTTAGGCTAATAAAATCTAGGCTTAAGTAAATGTATAACTTATATAACTGTATAAAACATACAAATTAATTCTACTGGCAATTAATCACCAATTGAATGCGTTATTAAGAATGAATACACTGAAAAAAAAAATTAAATTGAATCAAAAGTAAAATTCTTGAACCAACAAAACAATTTTGAAGAGTGTCATTGTCTTGAATCAAGACGAAAAATTCTTGAATTAAATAAAATTGACTTAAACCAAGAAAAATTTCTTAGTTCAAGAATTTTTCTACTTAAATCAAGAAGATAAAATTCTTCAAAATTATTTACTTGATTCAAGTAAATTTTTTTTTCTGGGTACGTAACTTTCTCACGATGACAAAAAAAAAATTACGCAAAAACTTTTTTTATGTACTATTATAAGTGAAAAGATCTCTAAAAAAATTTATTAAAAGCAGTATATATTTTTTTAATCAATAAACCGGGAGAGAAAAATTTCTTCCATAGGAATAAAAAATATTTAATAGAGTAATTTAAGTTTAAGAAAGTAATGAAATGTAAATTTTCGTAAAAAGTATAAATAAATTTATGATATATTGGTATAATTATAGAATAGAAAAATTCTATTGTAATTTTAATAAAGAGAAAAACTTCCTATTATCTTTTAATTTTTTTTTTTTTTATTTGTTTAAAGTCGCATAAACTACTAAGGTCATGAACGACTACGGTAGGGGGTAAACTTTTGAGATTGGAACTCGTTTGTATTTCTTGGGTTGAGCAGAATAATACACTTAAATATTGAAAATATTCATTGGTGTACGCCGGATTCGAACCCGGTCCAATACTTTGATAGCAAGGGCCGGATCCGATAGGCTACTGCGCGCCTTTTTATCTTTTAATTATTCAACTAAAATTCGAATTTTACCTCTCTGGTTTGAAAAAAAAAATTCAAAACGATTGACAATAGATCTTATTAGAATAACTATCATATTCATTGCATGATAAATGATGACATACAAGATTCAAGGGTGCTATTATTTAAATTTTAGATTTAATTGATTCAATTTTAACGATAAAATATGCTAAAGTAAAAGAAGTGGCAAGTGAGAAAGGCTATTAAATTTTACTATTTTTTACTATAAGATAGTTAAAAAATTTTCCTTCTATTATTTAAAAATTGAATCAAGATAGATGTTTGAAATTTTATTTACTGTTTATTGTTTAAATTTATCATCTTAATTATTTTCTAAAAGTATTGTTTAAAATTTTAGTAATCTTATTAGTTTCTAGTTCTGTTTAATGTTTCTTAAAAATATAATTTTTTTAAATATTTTATTGTTCACATTTCTCTGCAATACTTAATTATTAATCTATTGAGTCTATCATTTTTTGAGAAATCAAAATAACGGTCTCTACGCTAGTAAGCGCTTATTTAGTATAGATTATAGATATTTTCTGAAAATTGACAGTATGTTCTATTTTATACTTTTAAAAAAGAAAAAATATTAAGATTCATGAAGAAAAAAATAATTAAAGTAACATTTCCTCTACTTTAATGTCTCGCATTATTGATTTTTTTTTTTAATATTCGGAAAAAATCTCTTTGTTTTTTTTTTGAGCTTTTTAAAATTTTCATTTACCTGAAAAATAAAATAAAAATTAAATCAGATATCGTAATTCAATTTTGATTTTTTAAACCCGAATTTTTAAAATCGTGCTACTGAACATAAAAAACAAACTGTTTATAAACAATTCTATTTTACACCGTCTTCAGCTCATGTTTTACAATCTTTTATATTTTCAAAATATCAAATAACATTGCAGGCCTAGTAAATTAATAAAGATGATACTGAAATTAGCAGATGCCTTACAATTCACAATTCTCGAAATTTTCATAACACATAAATTATTGAAAAAAAAAAAAAAAAAAAAATATTTTTAAAAATTCGCACTTGTAAATTTGTAAAATTTCCACATGTGGAATTTTTTTACTAAATTTTTTTCATTATAATTTAATTGTTATAAAATTCTAAAAAATTGTTAGATATCTGTTAAATTCAGTATGATTAATAAAGATATTACTTCTAATTAAAAACAACAAGTATAGTGATTAAGAATTTTTTTTTAATATCTGTCATCTACAATCTATTTTACCTTACTTCTAATTTCTAACATAATATGATGAAATGGCATATTAATTATATTAGTTTAAACATTAATGGATAATGACAACATAAATAAAAAATAACTTTACAAATTAAAAATATAAGCTATTAAATTTTAGATTAACGTCAATAACAAATTAAAAAGAAATTCATCAAATAAACCATTATATCACAAGCCCATGACATCCAATAGAATAAATTCTTAAATAAACAATATAATTTTAAAGTGAAATTTATAATTTTCATGGTACGATACTTTTGAGAACAATTAAGCCTTCAGTCATTTATAAGCTCGTCGGTAAATATCTTAGTAATTAAACTTATCATTACAAATGTAGAAAAAAATCTTAACAATTAGTTTGACATTAAAATCATTACTAGTTTGGCACAAAATAAAACAAGATAAAATCTATACTATAGGTTGGTATTAAAAATTGCTCCTCTAAATACCATGGAATAATATCCAACGAATCTTAATCATTACATGATATTTTTAAAGCAGTCTACGGATTTAATCCATGTATTCAGTCTCATATGACAAACATACACAACTATTTTTTATTCAATTAAATTATGTGTATATCTACTGAAGTCTAATGATTAATTATTAATCATTATCCAGCAATACGCTCATAAAATAAGAGATAAGGACTTGCACAAAGTACATCTGTCAATGACATATTTTCGACTATAGTATCTGATGTGTATAGCCATTGACCTGGACGATTACCTCGCCGATAGCATACAAAATGTCCCGCATCAACAGGTCCTCGGTGTTCTACAACAGCTTGAAGCTTATAACGATGTTTACCTTGATTACTGCCGTTATTAATTAACATCATTGGTAGAGTAGCCTGCAAAGTCACGTTATTTATCATAAATCATAAATTAACTATCAGAATTATTTCATTAATCGTTGAGTGAGTTAAGGGGTTACATGGGTTTCCTCCGTGAAAAATCGCCTATTGTTAACAATTTTTTTTTTTTATATATAAAAAATGAAATATTTAATTCAAACTTTTTACTGTCTTAAAGATACATAAGGTAAAATACCCCATTAGTGGCACTTTTTCTTTCAATGAAAAAATGTTCTACTTGGAATGAAAATTGAAAATTTTTTTGATCTCTAAAGGTTTTAAGGATTAGAAATAATATATTCATTATTGAAACTAATGATTTCATTAATTGAATAAGTATCAAAATCAAAGAAAGTGTCAGTAATGGGGTCCCCGCCACTAATGGGGTCTTTTACCCTATTTAATAACAGATTACTGAAATTTTTGAAAAAAAATATTAAAAACTCTGCCATTGTGACATCATTTCCGGTGAGCCCTTGGAAAAAAAGATGCGTCCGCGTTGACAGCAGAATTCCTAGCAGGATCATTTGAAGTAAAAAAAAAAAAAAAAATACGTGTTTTAGTTAAGACTTCAAACTAGAACTTGGACGAAGGAAAAAAAAATGAAAATTGGATTGAAAAATTTGGCTAAAATT